TTTAAAGTTATGTGGAATTAATGATTATTTACTTTGTACACTACAAAATCATTTACAATTAAATGGGTTAACTGAACGTGTTCATAGAAATACTGGGCGTGCATCTAAAACAGATTCAAGAGTTTTTTTAGATCTTGCTATAACATTTCCAATTAAACAATTTTTAGTGCAATATGGAACAATTCACGAATTTCTTTCTCCATTACGGCATCAAGATGATTCTGGCATTTTTATTTATCATCCGACTAGTCAAACCTACGTTTCAGTTTATAATGAATATAAAAAAAACTTTTATCTTACACATAATGAATCTGACCAAATAATCTCATATTTTACGTTTAGAAAATTATGGTATGAGATAGCTCCTAATATTCGATTTTAGCCATGTGCAAGTGATCTTTGTGAGGTTTGTACTTCTTTTAAGGCTAAATTATTAGTTGCCAAACAGGATATTGATGAATATAATAAAGTCCAGGCTGAATATAACGAACATACAGAGGCTGCAGAACGTGAAAGACAACATTACAATAACAATATTGAAGAAAGTAAAAATAACCCAGATATTACACATATTTGTTACGATTGGGCACAAAATGTTTATTTACCATATTCGCCACTACAAGTTGGTCCAATTTATTTTAAATCTTCTTTTTCTGTAAATATTTTTGGTGTCTGTAAAACGGGTGAACAAAATTATCAATTAAATTTTTTAATTGGCGAAAATGAACTTCCCGAAGGGGTTGCGAAAGGAGCTAACACTACGTTAAATATGGTGTATTATTTTCTTAGAACTAAAAAAACAAAAAAATTAAGAGTAACTTGTGACAACTGTAGCAGTCAAAATAAGAACAACTTATCACTTTGGTTTTGGTCTTGGTTATGTTCATTAGATTGGTATGAAGAAATTATTATTAATTTTATGCTCCCCGGGCACACAAAGTTTATCTGTGATTCATTTTTTGGACATATTAAAAAAGTTTATAGAGATAATCGTGTTAATACTATTGATAATATAGAAAATATAGTAAATAATTCATCAAAAGGAAATAATGCGATTCAATATAAAAATGGTACGGGATGGGTTTGGCACGACTTTAGTTCTCTTTTTAAAAATAATTTCAAATCTTTACCAAATATAAAACAATATTATCATTTTCGATTTAATAGCTTAGAACTCAGTAAAGTTTTTGCCTTAAAAAAATCAGGTGGAGAAGAAATTTGTTTTCAATTATTGCATAATAATAACTTTGATAAAAATGGTCAATTAAATACTATTTCTTCTGTACCATTATCAAATGACCGAAAAAAATATTTATATACGAAAATTCATCAACATGTTAATAACCCTTATAAAGATATTTTTTGCCTACAATCTTAAGATTAAAAAAAAAATATTTTATAAATATAGAATTCTTATCAATGAAGTAACAAGCCAACATTATTGTGAAATCAGTAATTCTAATCATATAAATAAGACACGTAGACATATATATAAGAAAATGTATATGTGTAATAGTTAAAGAACAATTAATATATAATATAATTCAGTTTTTGCATAATAAATATCATAAGAAATTTTAAATAAATAAATAAATAAAAGAAAAATTGTATTGCAAGTAAATGACGAAATGTCATAATTAAGAAATTTATAAGCATTTGATTTGAATTAGCAGAACTCTATCTTTTGATTTTGCTATTATTTACCTTGTATTATTAGTGTTACAGAGTTTCCCTATCTCCTATGTATTTGTGGTTTTTACTACCAATCTTCACTCGCTTGGCTAATACATATATACGATGACTAGAGTATCATACCAGATACTATCACCAATAATGTAATCACAGAGATAACACAGTGTATTCACTAAGAATAACTCAAAAAGATCATGAGAGCCAATAAGAATCAAAGCTAGGCACTTCCTCATTTGGATCGATGTCTTATATTTATTACTATCACTAATGATTACTATATTGTTTATGCAATCACTATTATTACTAATTGCTACTAATTACTACTGTTATAGAACGAATTAGTTATTATTTTATTATTTTATTATTTTATTAATTATTATCTTAGAATATTATTATCTTGTATTATTATTAACATGTTGCT